TATAGCAATGTAATATCTAATATAAGCATCCTACAGCGAATGACACCCCGCGACCATCATACACCATCTGTACCATCTTCACCATCTGACAACCCTTCCCTGTATAACCACCCTACACCATCATACACCATCTGAAAACCATCTGACACACTGCGACCATCATACACCATCATACACCATCTGAAAACCATCTGACACACTTCGACCATCATACACCACCGTACACCATCTTCACCATCAGACATCAGATGCCTGTATTGGACATTACTTCGATTACACAAGGATAAATTATACAATAATGGATTATCCAATAATTTCATCTAACCCTCTAATACAATTTTCATGCAAATGTATCTTACTGAGTGGTTACGTCATACAATTTTCATGCAAATGTATCTTAGAAGTGGTTACGTCATGTAATTTTCTAACAATGAATTATTGACCTGAAACTATCTCACAATGCACTATGCATTTTAGAAGTCCTCTCTATTAAAAATAGCGTGACGTAAGCACTTCTAAGGTCAATTAAACCAACATTTCACCAATATTTTCCTAGCTTTTGGGCATACACCAATACAATAACAAAAAATATTAATATCAATAATTCCAAATGTATAGTTCAGATTATAACCTTGTTTTTTTTATTTGATTCCTACTACTTGGGACCGCTAACTGTAATTGGCGATAGCTGTTGCGGCTACCCAGCCATGTGACTCTTATGAATAACTTTAATCATAATTATGTATAACGGAGACCAGTAATTCTTTGATAACTACGCAAAGTTACGATGAAAATAGACCATAAAGCTTTTCATACGGGGTGGACTAAAAAATATTTTCCGGATATCATATTATTCATCTTATTTTCGTTTAAACATCCTTTGTTTCTCCCATTTCTCCCTAATGTTTTCGTAAATTTCTCCACTTTTTGACTATCATTATTACTTTTTAATCAACGTCACTTACATATGTTGTTATTTTACATTACAACATTGGGGGGTGTTATACCCCTGCCCCCTTTTAGCGCCGCACCTGCCTGTCAACTTTCTTGTGAGAGGAAACTGGAGCACCTGGAGAAAACCCACGACTTTTGGCAGAGCGTTGACAGACTCTTTTCACATGAGTCCGTAGCGAGAACAGAACCCCACGATTCAAGAGGTGAAATGTGCTTGCTCTGACGACTGCGTCACCGAAGCCACGCATTAACTGATAAAATTCACGCTTAATAAACATAATATACTATTAGTAAAATAGATATTGAAAGAAAACAGCAGCTACCTCAATAGTCTTGTTGAACCGACATACAATTTGATCATCAGGTTTATAACAAGGTCCACCAATAAACATTTTAGTTCCTCCTAATTCAATTCCTGATCTCGGTGATAGCACCAGACCTAAACATACAGTATACAGCTAATATAATTATAGTTTTGAGTTTCGTTGGAAAATTTTGATGGAAAATAATCATATTGTAATTACTAAGAATATTTTAAGATATTAAGTTATCGATTTAATTAAAATTGTTGCCGGAAACTAATTTATCATTTTCGGAAAATTTAATAATTAATTAGATAGATTATGTCTTGGAAAGTAAACTGTGATGTTAATCAGTCAGATAGATAGATAGATAGATAGATTTAATAAGAAAACACATTGCAGCCGAGTACGACTGGATTGCGTGTTACTTTACAACAATGGTAATTATGAGAATAAAGTTTATCTAAAAAAAGTATATAAAAGAACGTTACAAATATGTTAAAGTGTGTTAGAAATATGCTGCTGTTTCAGGCTAAAAGTGTGTAACTCAGTATATAAAATATGTATTTACAAAGTTAAAACTACGAAGATTACGCTTAAGAGAATTCTTTAATACAAGAAGGAATAAATGTTTTTAAAAATCTATCAGTTTTAATAACTGGTGTTTGGAAGACACGTATACTACGCAAGTCGTTGGTGATAGGAGGACGTGCAGGAAACAAATTCGACAACTTGTGTGCAGGGTCCTTAGTTATCTGATTGTATAGTTTGGAGCAGGCATGCCTTCGACGATCGCTTAAGAGTGTCAAGTTAGCTTTGTCCAAACACTCGCTGTAAGAAAAACCGGGAAAGATTATGGATGTAACTCTTCTCTGGACTCGTTCTATGTTATCACTGAGATACTTAGGCAGAGCAAAGTGAAATACCTCACAAGCGTATTTCAGAACTGGTCTGACACAGCAACAATAAAAGTTTAGAATTTCTTTGGCTGGTATTTTAGCTCGTTTTAATTGGACTATGAAGAAGATTCTCTTGTTGGCTTTCTTTATTATGTTTAGGACATGCGTAGACCATCTTAAATCATCACTAACCGTAACACCTAGAATTTTAGCTTGGCGAACTAGGTTTGGACACCGTGATCGAAGCCTGGGGACCGAGGATGTCCCGGGTGTAATTAGCCCGACGGAATTAATACCTTCGCCCTGGGCTTGCGCCCGGAACGGCGCTCTGTACCGTTAGCCCGCGGATTAGGTAGATTATGTCTTGGAAATTAGACTGTGATGTTAATCAGTCGATACCTGTAGACTATTTAGATATTATTAATATAAATCTTCCGCAGATTAATATTTAAATTATAATCTTAATCACCTTCTGATTAATTTATTGTTATTAATTCATTTGTGTAGTCTGAAGATGATTTAGTTACTGGGCATTAGACTTCACTGTGTATCAGTTCACAACTGTAGTCGTTCGGGAGGTGAATATTATTTAAATTTCAAAACGTTAGTGTTATTAGATAAAAAGAATCGAGAATAATTATACCGCTACTTGACGTACAACCACGATTTTCAACAATGTCCCCGTCGACTTGAAATATCCACAACCCAGGATCTTGATAGTTTGATGTTGAAACAATGTTGATAATGGCAGGAGTACGAGAGTTTGGAATATTAAAATATCTAAACCCGTCACCTGTGTTAAAACCGGCCTAAATTTTAAAAAAATTAAAACGACCGTCTAACATAATTAGAACTAAGGAAATATTCTAGTAAAAATAAATATTGTTATTTACTTAAGCTGCGACACTGCTAGCAGTAACAAAGGTCCATTCAATTTTATTGTAGTAAAAATTGAAATAGAATTTATGCCATCTGTCGCCAATACGGTCTGAAATGTATTCTATTATAGGCAAAAAATTGACATCTTTAATTTCAGAAAAAGACCTGGTATGCTGAATTTTATTTCATATACAATAAAAATGGATTATCAAAATACTAGAAGTACATGCATGCAGCAACCCCTCGACTATATTCTCCAAACGTTGATTTAACATGAAGTATTAGCAATCAGCCAACGCAGGCTCGCGCTATACGTCAAGTGTTGCCTTGGCAACACAATAATTTAAATTTTTCAATTTTAATTATATATTTTGCACAAAACGGACAAAATGGTTTGAAGCTTTGATTTAATACAAAATTTAACTTCAATCACTTTGTAAATGTTTTGAGATGTTCATTCAACTATTAAAACTGCTTTTGTCGAATGCCGATAAACTGTTTTTAATAATACAAAAAAATAAGTTCAAATTGTTGAGTAATATAATTCTTTAATGCCTCCATATTTGAACGTACGAATATTTACAATTATAGATAAATAACTAAAATTAATTTAAAAAAAGACAAACAACCCACAAACTACTGAAATCGTACCAGTTGTTCTGAAGATGAAATACAGTCGATGGTTTGTGTTATTTTTGGGCAACTGTTTGAAGAAAGGCAATCGACTCAATCAATGCAGCATGGAACGATTAGCAGTGAATTAAATCAGGCATTTCGTTTACCGAGAAATATAAACACGTCTAACACAAGTACGACAATCGCAGTTGAGGGAAAACCTGGTCTTGGGCCATCGCAGCCTGTCAGTTTACCTCAGCAATCGTTGAATTTGTCTGTGCCGTCGTTCAATTCACAACTCAACTACGGTAATGTTAAAATGGGTCGTAGATCTGGCCCAATTCGACCGCGCCGAAGTGGAACTCGACGTTGCTCAAACATGCAAAGTAATGGTTGTTCCTCTCAACCATCCCCTTCAGATAGAAACGAGTTATTTCTGAAGGATGTCTACTTACTCCCAAGGCCAACGTACGACAGGGTGCCGAGACGCGAAGCGAAAGCAAACTTGCAAAAAGAGGGGTTCTGCGTTGACGCTTGTACATTTGATAAAAGGTGGGATGAACAAACTCTTCGCGATAAAATGGCAATGTTATTCCTTTATATAATATTAACAAAAATTTGCACCTATCATTGTTATGTATGGTTTAATTCTTCCGGTTATTACAATCTCCCCTGCCCCCGGGCAACCCCCCAGGTATTTGCAATTTTTTTCAACAAAATCTAGATCACCTCTGGGCTAATATAAAAATATGCGAACTCCCCACACAACAGTTTTAAATTTGCATAACAATTAATCATTAAAAACACAATCAGACAAAGCCATATTAAAAAATGCTTTACTTAAAACTGGCCAGGCATTAGGTCAGCCAAAAACCCTATCATTCCATGTGTTTCACCCCTTAACTGTTATCTTGAAGAAATGTACTGGATATTAGACGGTTGCAAGAAGATATGGATTTTATGTTCGAGTGGCAAAAACATCTCAAGTGGGCGCAGCCAAGTTACCGAATGTATGAGATATTGCTTTTGACACAAGAACATCAATTCATATCTTCTCATAACTGTCTCATATCCTCTATTTAATACACCAGGCAATTTTCACAACTTCTATCTTAAAAACATTGACCCATTAAGCCACATTGCTTCCAAATGTATACTGTATAATCAACAGTGCTGCACAGTCAACAACTGGTGTTATTCTCACCCATTATAGTCCGCAATGGGTTAGAATAATTAATGCAAGACAATTTTACTTATCAAAAGAAGATTCTTGCATATTAATGGTTAACCAAAGAATCTGCCAATATGTTGGGTTAACCTATTAGGCTGCAATATACTCCCACATGCTCTGGGCTTGAAAAAATACTTGTGGTTCTAGTTTCCCAACAGAGCCTATTATTTTTTCTGCCGACCCTATTATTTTTTTTCAACACGATTGACCGTGCAACCCTATTTTCTCTGGGTGGATGCGGTTCGCTCATGTAGTGTGCCAAAATGGCGTCTATTGATCGCTCAGTGGTTGTCACAATATTAAATTATGGAACCAAAATAATAAATTGTCTAAATTCGTTCATAGGAAATGCGCATCTCTAGTTAATATTGCAAGACTGAACTGAAAATCGTTTAAAATAGATTAATGAATGTTGCTAAATTTTAAATTTTCCATTCTTTTCAGTTTTGAGTTCGTCAAGTCATCAGAGACATCAGTCATTGCAGTCAATTTGCCATCGGGACAGAGGATCACAGGCAAAGTCCTAAAGCATGTTGCCGGTAATGGACTTGTCTACATACGGTCCTGCACCGATGTTGAGTTTCAGGTAATATTGTACTGTATAGTGATTTTAGTCATTCTACATATATATTTATATTTATCATTCAATTTTTGCAGTTTTTACTGTCTTGGCCATTCCCCCAGGGTAGCTTTGCCATTCGCCTAGGGTAGCTTTGGTAGGGGTTTGAGTGTACTTATATTTTGTTATTTTTTATATTTTAGAGGCCCAAATTTTACAAAAATGGTTATCATTTCACAAAAGTAACGACTTTTTACGCAAATTTTACCTGAAAATCTCAAAATGTCAACTTGGATTTTTCCTGAATTTTACCTCAGTTTCACAGTTGGGGGATTTTACACCCCCCTTACCCCCCTCCCTCCAGTCGCCATGATCCTAGATTCATGCATACAATGAAGTTGCCTACACTGAGCATAAGTAATTAGTGTATGCTAAAACTAAATGCGTTGTTATGTGCTACTGTCTGCTATATATTATAGGTATGTATGCTGATCAAATCGGTTTTTCTAGCACTGTCATGTTTTATCTCAGATGAGTGGAGAAGGTTCTCTTTCCAGTGAAGAAGAAATCATTACCAGCAATTTCAGGTGTATCCACTCCATCTTCTGTTGTAACGCGCAATGCATTTCAACTATCCACTTCAGATAACCAACAATGCTTGTCAAGGAAAGGTGTGGTGGCATCAAGATCACTGGTAGAACCAAGTAAATCTGTCTCGTCCTATAATATAAGAAACTAGTTACATTCCTCAGCCATCATCATCATCTTTCAGTAGTCCATCATGCTTGCCAAGACAATATTCAGGAACCAGGTGTTTGGAGCAAAGTCCTAGTATTGGCGAGACAGCAACATCACAGCTACAGCATATCAGTGAGATGTTTCCATTTCTTGACCATGAAACAATTTCAAAAACACTATCAAATGCAAATATGAATGTTGAAGTTGCTATCGACAAATTACTTGGAGTGACATGTATTTATATTATTGTACACCTTCACTCTTATGGCCTGCATGTTATTTCATTGTACAGAGACTCTCGGTGTCAAGTTGTAAAACAGATCTTAAACTATTTCCTGTCAGGAATTAGGAATTACTTTAAGTCACTATTACAACTATTCTATTTACAAAAGAACGATTAAACAAAAAAATAAATAAAGGAATGATTTTAAATAGATGAGTAAGGTAATAATGACAAGAAGGCATCCAGAAACCATAAAGCTTGTAATGAGATGTCTCCTTAAGCATAAAATTTAGATAAAATAAACATTCACATTTATGTAAGCATTGCTAATCCCAAGAGGGAATCCAATCCCTATTCGCCTCCAAAGACCACCAGTGAACATGAAAATAAATTTATAGTTCATGCAGCTGGTATTCCAACATTCTATTCCTCAAGCAAGTCAACGTTTCGGCATTTCTACGTTTATCTGGGAGAGAACACCAGAGTTTAGGACCTTGATAAAGTACGGTGAATTGTTTTTGTTAATTCTACAAACATATGTTCGGTGTAGACTAGCGTTTCTTGTATTGTATTGATGAATTTGATTACTAGTAATAAATCTAACCAGCTTATATGTTTATAAATGATCTCAGTGACACGTGCAGACTGGTCACTGATGTTGTTATTCCCAATTTACTTGCTAAAGTCGGATTACCTTTTTTGATACGTCCTGTACATAGTTCATATTAGAACTTTTACCATATCCATCCCCTTTGTTTATCATCGTCTCATATATTTCTATGTGCAATAGAGAATATTATTGCAGTTTCTTAAACGTTTGTGTAAACTGCATCTGAGTTTTGTATATTCTCAATAGATTAACAATTCGAACATTCTTCAATCGAGATTAATTTTTACTGTTGTGAATAGTTTTTATTTATACGTGTGTATTTGTGTTGTCTTGGTGGGACTTAATTGGGATCTTCTGTTCCGTTGTCCTGACCTTCGAAGAAAAAAAAATAAAATGTGATGTTATTAATACAGAATTTATCGTAAACAAGAATGTTTATTTGTTTTGTGTATCCCATAGCCAGAAGTTCACGATGATCCAGATACTCATAATGAGCCAGAAGACATAGCAGATGACGATGAGCTATGGGATACCTCTTGGAATCCTTTACAGTCTCTCAAAAGGTTTACTCGTGCTGTTGTTAACACGTTTGGAGAAGAGATGGATGTCGTTATAAACCGAAACAAGGACATGTTACAACAGGTTGTGAGAAAGTATGAACACCCAGAATTTGATATCACAAAGCACCTGAATGTGTCGTTTGTTAATGAGCCTGGTGTAGATGCTGGGGGGTTGACAAGAGAATATTTTCACATTCTGATGGATCGGTTGCAGAAGCCACTCGGTTCTCTTGATTTGTTCGAAGGTCGAAAGGGCCATTTACTTCCAATGCACAAGTATGATTTAGTCCCGGGTGGCCTATTTGCTTTGGTCGGATCGAAAGATGGTCTTACACTCAATTTTGAATAACTGCACCGGAGTACCAGGGTTATCTCCTGGAGTCATTGCCTACGTTGCAAGTGGTAGTCGCGATGCAGCAGTAGAACACCTCACTTTAGAAGATGTTCCAGATCCAGTTTTGCAGGATAAATTGCGCCAGGTAATTTTGAACACGGAGTTAGTATCACGTGTTAGATTTGTTGCAGAATCCATATCTCAGTGAGACAAAAATAGCGGCACACGCAAGCGGTGAAAAAAGCGCGAAACTGAGGGAGGTAAATGGAAGAGAAAGACTTGGATACTTTGCGTGCGTCAAAATTTACAGTCGGATTTTTCCCTAGGGGTGTAGCTTGTAAGTTAACAATAGCTGGTATTTATTAGTTACAACTTTTGCGCCAAATTATTATGTGCGCCGCTGTTTCCGAGTCCTTAGAAACGTGCTCGAAGCAAATCTAAGTGTGTGTATGGTTATAATTGAATTTCCGAATACCCACATTTTCTTTCAACACTAAGGCTCGAGTACGATGTTGCTACTCTTTAAACACGAAATAAGTGCATGCATTGTATAAGTACTTGATTGACCGATTATTTTATATTCCTGTAGCCGTCAGTACGATTTTTTCTGGTCAATTGGCGTTATAATGTCAGTAAACTGATTAAAAGTGACGTCATTTAATTAATCACGTTGTAGTCAAAAGTTTTGCAGGAGCAAACTGTACTGATATGGAAGACTACTTGAAACCTGTAGTTCGAAAAGAACCAGAGAACATAATTCTCCATGTTGGAACCAAAGATATCTTATATACACTAGATAGTGCATCTAATTATTCTGCAATTCAAAAATTGAAGCCATGATTGCAGTCTCAGGTCGTTCCCATGAAATGAGAAGATTCGTATGTTTTCTATTTCTTAAACAGGGAACTTAAACATTAAGTTAACCCTATTCCAAATACGTTTTTAAACTATTAAAATGATGAAAGTTATTGTTGTTTTTAAGCGTTTATTAGCAAGTGGGAACGACCAACATGGCTGCCATCTATTCAAATGAGGGTAACCGCTGGAATATTCTTGGCTTCAATTTTACTAAAAGAGATGCGCTATCTAGTGTATATAAGATATCTATGGTTGGAACAAACGATCTAAATAAAAGTGCCTCGCCAGATCAAATCGCACAAGGAATTATCAACTTGGGAATCCAGATAAATCAGGACTCCCCTCAAACAAGCATTACTATATCAGAAATTTTACCTCGAACGGACAAGTCAAATCTACTAATCAAAGCTAGTCAAGTCAATGACACCGTGAAAAAGTATTGCGACCAAAATAAACGGGGCTGTATCCATGCAGGATCTATGATACATAATCCTGGACTGGATACGAAATTTTGGGCTGAAGCAGTATGCACAGCAGTTATTGTTAGAAATCGTTGTCCTACAGTAGAAGTGGACAATATGACCCAATATGAATGCTTCAATGGTAAGAAACCAGACGTGCCCAATTTTAAAGTGTTCGGATGCAAAGCATGCTTGTATGTTCTTAAAGAAGCCAGAAAGAAATGGCATTCGAAGACCAAGAAAAGTATATTTGTTGGATATAGTATTTCAATTAGGGGAAATTGACTTAGCTTTATGATCCTAAGACTCGGAAATTACACATATCAAGGGATGTTTTATTTGATGAAGATGAATTTATTCAACAGAAGAAATTTATGAAAATTGGAAACTTGAATGATTCCGCCCCTGACGACCAAGAAGAACCACAAGAGAACAAACCATCAGCCGAGCATGTTATTTTAAGAGATCGAGACACAATTGATCATGGTGAACGTACTGAAGAAACGAGCAACTGTAGAGAAACCGAAGTGGAGCAGCAACCACGACGTTCAACGCGCAAACTAGAACCACCAGATAGACATGATGTACTAATTACTAGCAATTGGTGGCAAAATAATGTTGCATGTATTAATAGTGAGTACATCTAGAAGAGCCTACAACTATAAGGGAAGCTCTAAATTGTTCAGATAAAGAACAGTGGAAACAAGCTCTGGACAACGAATGTTCAGCTCATATTAAGAACAATTCATGGACATTAGGGAATCTGCCTGAAGGTGGTAATGCTATCGATTGTCGATGGGTATTTAAAGTTAAATACAACGGGGATTGGTCTGTAGAGCGCCACAAAGCTCGTTTAGATGCGAAAGGATACTCACAAGAACCAGGATTAGATTATGATGAAACCTTTTCTCCTGTAGCGAAATATACATCTATTCTTTCACTAGTGGGAATTGCTAACCAATTAGATTTAGAAGTACATCAAATGGACGTTTCTACGGCGTTCTTGAACGGTGAATTGGAAGAAGAAATATGCATGAAGCAACCAGAAAGATACGTGAAAGAAAGTAAGGAAGTCTGTAAATTAAACATAAGTATATACGGCTTGAAGCAGTCATCAAGATGTTGGTACAACACGATCGATCAATTCTTAAAGAATTCCGGCTATGTACAATCAAGCTCGGACCCTTTCTGTACATAAAGCGAGAGGGAAATGATATAATGCTCATAGCCTTGTACGTCGATGACTTGATGCCAGCGAGTAATAGTAAGAAAATGGTTCATAAAGAGAAAGAAGCATTGAGAAAGCGTTTTGAAATGAAAGATCTCGGAGAAGTTCATTATTGCCTTAGTATTCAAGTAGAAGAGATAGAAACAAAAAACGAATGAGATTACATCGATCACAATATCTCACGAATTTGTTAAAGAAGTTTGGAATGCATGGAGGAATGCAATTAACCAGCTGCAACGCCTGTTGATCAAAGCACTAAATTACTACGTAACGAAGGAGAACCAGAGAAAAGCAAGTTTCAAGCCTTAATTGGTGGATAAACTTATGCGGTAACTGGTACTAGACCTGACCTTGCTCAAGCGTTAGGATTGGTTAATCAATTTTGTTCAAACCCAGGACTTGAACACTGGACAGCAGCTAAACGTATTTTACGATACATGAAAGGAACAATTGATTACGGAATTACATTCGATGGAAACAAACAAACTGAAGTACAGTTGAATGGTTATGTTGATGCTGATTGGAGAAGTAATCCAAATGGACGAAAATCGCAATCAGGGTATTTGTTTACACTGTGTGGAAGAGTAATCAGTTGGGCTAGTAAGAAACAAAGTGTTGTCGCACTTTCTTCAACTGAAGCGGAGTATGACGCTGCATCGTTAGCGTGTCAGGAAGCAGTTTGGTTACGTGTGTTACACGAAAATATCAGTTTTGTTCAAAACAAGCCAACGATGATCAAAGAGGATAATCGAGGTGCAATAACTTTGTCAAAGAATCCTAAGTATCATCCCAGAACAAAGCATTTAGCGGACTTGTTGACTAAACCATTAGGAAAAACAATGTTTCAACGTTTTAGAGAACTTATGGAAGTTAGGAACAAACTTTAGTCCCCGAGCCAACGGCGCGGAGCGCTGTGCGAGGGTACTGAATCCGCCCGCTATTTACACCCGGGGAAACAAAAGCATTAGCGAAATCTAAAGTTCATCCAATGATGGTCGCGGACGTGGGTCACTGTGCGTGGGTGGTCATCATCACTGATGTCATAATAAAGCGGACTGTCACGAATAGCCAACACTGATTGGTCCAATTTAAAATTTGCTTTATAACGACTGCATGACGACAGCGAAATTGCAAATTTCTTGATTTGATGATTTCTTGCAAATATATTACATTTTTGCAAGATTTTGTAAATTTCAAAAGCTTTTTAATAAAATAAAGGCGAAAGAATTGCAAAAAGAAGGGAGTAAAGGCGCCGTTGTTAACGAAGGTAAGTTTGTTTTAAATATTGATGCATTGTTTGCTTTATAATTACTTTAAAAGCCGATCGTTGCATACATAAAATATGAAACAAGCCAGGATATAATTTCAGTGTATCTTTATTGATTACCCTTTTTTATTATAGTAAGCAAAGTTATTTGCATGCGAGAATTTGGACTCTGACTAGAGCTCTGACGAGAATTTGGAGAATTTGGGCTCTGACTAGAGCTTGCGCATATGACCTTCAACCCCCCCCTTCTCGGGCACTGACTCTGGTAAACGAACATTTCTGTACAGTGCTTCCATTCTTTTTAATTGCTTAGATAGCGATTGTAAGCAACTTGCTGCTTCGCCATCTTGCTCTTCGTATACTAACGCCAAACAAAAAATTCGTAAAATCTTTCCTAACAAGCTTAACCTTACTAACCATATCGAAGATCTATTTTGTATAAATTGTAAATAATTACTAAATTGTAATTGTATTCATTACTAATTATTTTTTTCTCAAATGTAAATAGTCGTAATCTTTAATACTTTTTATGCCTGAAAATATCGAAATAGTGCGAGGGCCGTATGTTAGATAACTTTTACGGTTAATACGTTTTCCCTCGTGAAATAAAGTTTCTATTCTATTCTATTCTATTCTATTCTATTCTATTCTATACTGTAGTCTATTACGCTATATTATGCCATGCTGTCATACAGTATGTATTATAATAAGTACTATTGAAAGCACGCGTAGGAGTGCAACTACAAGTGCTTTAAAAGGCTTAAAAAACGGCTCAACTTATATGAGTTCATTGGCGAAGTAATTTTTAAAATAAACTTTGTCTAAACCGAGAAAAGCAAAGCTAAAGTTTATGTAAATTAACATAATTTTTTATCACATATAAAGATACGACACGCTTATGATTTTTCTTTGTGTTTTCCTCCTGAATTATTAATGAGTTTTTTAAAATAGTTTCAAAAACTCATTAATAATTCATGAAGCAATTATCCAATCTTGAGTAGGAAATTAGTCACGTGCATACGTCTTTATACCAGCTAAAGAACACTTTAACAAAAGACCATTGTTATGCAAACTATATAAAGATTTTATATAAAGATTTTTGTATAAAGATTTTTATATAAAGATTTTTATATAAAGATTTGACCAAAGTTTTCACCAAATTTCCGGACGAAATTTGATGCCTAGTATACTCGGTCCCAGGGCCTCACGGCTGACACTGCGTTGCCGAAGGCCCTGGCGAAAACCAAAACCGGAACTTCAAAAATCTTGTAGTTTGCCGGAAGTAAACGTGTTTGCGGCCAATGAAAATGCTGACGCTGCATATTTTTTGCAAGAAGTGAAGTTTAAGAATTTCTTGAAAGTAATAGTGTTTCACATGCAAGATTAATATTAATTTGTTCTGGTTATTTCACCATTAAATGTGGTGATGATTGACAAAATCAGTAAACTCAAGGATCATGTAAATGTTTCAATTATGAAAGCTGTTCAAGTTGATGATTCGAAGGATACGATGTGTAGTTTGGGAGAGTCATTGTATATGGACAGCAATCCAGACATGAAAGTTTTTGAATATTTATTAAAATCGAGGAAATATACAGATAATTTAAAAGCGATTGTTGTGGACGAAGCCCATCTTGTCCCCGATCCGGCGGCGCGAAGCGCCGTGCGAGGGTACTAATTCTCCCCCGGCTATTTACACCCGGGGAAACGAAAGCATTAGCGAAGTCTAAAGTTCATCAATGAGCACGGGCGTCGGTCACCAACGATGGGTGGTCATCCTCACTGATCTCAAAAATATGGCGGATTGTCATGAATAACGGACACTGATTGGTCCAATTTAAAGTTTGCATTATAACGACTGCATGACGACAGCGAAATAGCAAACATTTCTTGATTTTATGATTGATAAATTTCTTGCAAATATATATATTTCATTTTTGCTCGTATTTCTGCAAGATATTGTAAATTTCAAGAAAGAAAGGGCGAAAGAATCAGCTAAAAGAAGGCAGCCGACGTTAACGAAGGTAAGTTTGTTTTAAATATTGATTTTATATGGCTTAAAACCCGACGGCCTTTGCGTATATGAAACAACTAAACAAGACAGCATATATAAATTTCAGTGTAACTTTAATATTGATTCCCTTTATTACTATTGAATTTTTTAAATAAAAAATAAAGCAAAGACCAAAGTTATTTGCAAGCGAGAATTTGAAATCATTTTATTGCAAACTCAAAGTTTATCGATAAAGCCATTTAATAGTTAAAGGCAGTTTAGTTTTATAAAGAACACTTTAAAACGTTTTGTGATTTGTTTGTGGTTGAATTTCACCTTAAATTGAAGCTTGTATTCCGTATAATTACATACCTAACATATATATGTTGGGAAATTGATAATTTTGTAATTAAAAGTGATATTTTTAGGCGATTTTCATTTGTAAGAATATTCTTAAAAAATTATTGTGTTACCATGACAACTACTCTAGATACTCCCTGTTCGGAAAATACAACGGTCTTGTCAGCAAAGCGAGGGTTTCTGCATGCATGTATTTTCTAGTTAATTAATACTCAATGGTAAGTGGGATGTATTTGGTTGTTTCTCAATATTCTTTCCATCACTAAAAATGCTATGGTTATCTGCAAGACTATTTACATATTACAGACAACATATATTTATCACTTATTTACTGAGACCGAGGGAAACAGTGTGTTTTGTGGACCCGAGACCGTCGATGTTTAACATCGACGGTCGAGGGTCCACAAAACACACTGCTTTCCCGAGGTCTCAGTAAATAAGTGTTTTATTATATATCAATAGTCAAAGAAACAACAAATTAAAGAACAAATGAACGTAAATACATGAAATATTTTATTGTTAAAACGTTGTATTAAACACTGGCTACACTGCAGTTACTTAAAGCGAAAGTTTTAATTACGTACTAGGCATGGCCAAAGGTCGCATCTTCACGTGATGGGGCACGTGATTTTTTTGTTATTCGCCGGTCGATAACGTATTATCTCCCTCTCGCGCTGTTGCGAGGGAGACAGCCTAATTTCGTCACTCTCACGTGATATGCTCTCAACCAGTAAAACACTAGAAAAATGCGACTTTGACTATTGATATATAATAATCTGTTTTACGTCCTGTCTAAACGTTGCATGCATTTTACATGAGCCAAGTCTCGAAACGTTTGTTCAACTCTTTAAGCGCTACCAAATTATTTTACTCAGCTTAACGTGCCAGATGATTGCTACTGCTCAATGGGTTAAATTAATCAGACTGTCTAATGCCAGACGATTTTGCTCATCAAGGGGAGAGTCAAGAGTGCTGGCACTTGATGGGTTAAGACCGTTAAGTGCGACATCAGTCGAATATTTGACTTAATTTAAAGTGTCATGTAGAGTATAATACAGCACATTATATGACTTGAAATATATATTTTCTTGGCAGCCATTTTCAATCACAAAATGATCCAAGTTGCTGTTAAATTATGACTGACCTAAAATTTTTGGCTAAAGTTTGTTTTAATTTATAAACATTACAATGTATTAACACTTTGGGAAGGATTTCAGGCCTTGCTATGGAAGGATTGGTTTGTCGGGAAGTTTGTTTCCTGGTGTTCCAATCATGCAAATCCTGCACCAATTCAGAAGTACTTATTATAAATTACAGTAATATAATATATATATATATATATATATATATATATATATATATATATATATATATATATATATATATATATATATATATATATATATATATATATATATATATATATATATACTGGATCCAGAAAAGTTTGACCTTCGAATATATATATATGTCGGCCATTTTGAATTTTCTTGGGTTAATTATACGCGAACGCATACATCAAATGTCGCTCGCAACGTACTGTATATTGCAATATTCCAACAGCTCGAATAAGTAGAGGATCATTGCTTGAAGTTCTTACACATATTTGTAGTAGCTATCTAATGAACATTTGAGGGTTGTTAGCTAATTAACTCTTGTCACAATTTGGAACCTGATCTTTTTGGCATGTCGTAATTTATTCTTTTGCATCCTTAGAGATTTAGACGCTTATTAGCATGCCTCGATGAATTTCTTTGTTTATTCTTTCGTATTCACTTGTGCTTATTTTATAGCTGTAACCTACGTCCAGAATTATTATATTAAAGAGTTTGGCAACCTAGAACGGCAACGACAACTGCAACGGGGAAAATATAATTGCTTATATTGTTGTATTTGAGCCAAAGTATACGTTACTACACTTAATTTGCCTCATTAAGTATTCCTGTTTCTTTCAAACGTACCCTTAAATAAAAATAGTCCGCGAATTCAATACAACTCTCAAATAACATCGAACGAATGAATTGTTGCCGTAGTCATGCACCGTGAAAATGATGCAAATCACGTATTAGTTTCAACAACTACGGCATTGCACAACGCTTAAGACCATGTAATTTACATTCGCCTTTGTCTTTGAGGATTAATGCTATTGTTAATGACCATATTGCCGTTGCGGTTGCCCTTGTATTTGCCGAACTCTCTATTATATTTTGCCAACGGAAATTTTAACGGAATCGATAGTCATTCGATAT